GCAGCAAAACAGGAAAACATCTGTAAAATTACAGTAAATAATAATAATAATAATAATAATAATTTTTGCAAAACTTATATTTGGTGTTTTAAAGGACTTGACGTCTTCTGCAATCTGCATTTTATTAGTTATTGACAGTTTTATGTTGAATTGTGATGTAAAAAACCCAGAAATGTAGCATAGCAGGTTGTCTAGGAACGTATTTTGGAAAATAGTGTTCTCACATAAAAAGTAGCTTCATCATCTCATTGAAACTGTCGGAGAACGTCTTCACCGTCTGTCTGCATCCTGTAGGCGCAGCACTGGTCCAGGTTCTGATGTTGGAGCTGATCAGAGAACACGAGTCTCTGTTCGCCAAAATCCCTCCGTCCGTCTACGCCCGTCCACCTGGAGGTTCTCACGCGTCGCCGGGGGCCCTGAAGCAGCCTCACCTCCACCCGCTGCCCTGCCTTCGCCAGCTGTCCCTGCCCCTCATCGCAGAACGCTCCAGAGAACCGGGGCAGGCCGCCGCGGACTCGGAGAACGCCAGGTAGAACACGCCTGCTCTGACGAACCAAAACAGCCAACGCTCATACAGAACAGGTTCTGCCTGGGTTCTCAAACTACGGAGCACTCATAGGAAAAAGCATGAAGTACCGTTCAGAGACGGTTCCTTAAAGTTCTACTGATATTTTCTTTTTATTTCCCAGAACGTTCCTCTTAAAGGTCGGATAACTGAAGAAAAAATAGTTGGTGACGACACTGATGGCTGTTGTGCCCCAACGTTCTCAAACTAAATGTTGCACTGAGAACGTTCTTCCCTTTGTTATCATGGAACATTGTGAGAATGTTTTATTGAAGAACGTTCTATAATGTGTTCCCCAAGAACATCCTCAGAACATTGCAAGCACAATGTTCCACCTTAGTTAATACATCACAGTACAGGAACATCTTATAACGAACGTTCTGTCATCTGAGGTCTCGACAACATCTTGAAAAAGTTTTGGAACGTTGCATTTAGAACATTTAGAACGTCCTTCTTTTGTTGTTATTGCGGATACATTTTATAGAAGAATGTTCTATGATGTGTTCCCTCAATAAAAAGACTAAATGTTCCACTTTTAATATGTCACATTCAGACATGTGAGGCCTTGATAACATCTGGAAACCTTTCAAGTTCTTCTCTGTCCTTGTTTTCTGCAGCTGTATCTTCTCTGCTGCCGCCAGATCAGACTTCGTCCAGAAGAGACACCTCGGCCACCGCTACACCTCCTCCCACCCGGAGAACTGTTTCTACCCGCCGTCCTCCTCCACTCAGCCCATCCAGAACCCCTCAGACGGACCCGGCGTGGACTACCATCGTCACCACACCGCCCGAGGACCCTCCCCCGCAGCAGCCTCCACGTCCAGCCTCCAGCTCCAGGACCCGCTGCCGGACAGCTCCAAGCCCAGGCGGATGCTAATGGGCTGGGCTAAGGCTTGGCCCGGCCCGGAGGAGGGCGGCGCCGCCTTCTGGAGGCCGAGTGGTGCTGCGGAGGAGGGCACAGTTCCAGAAACAGCCAGCGGGGGCAGCAGCGAGGCTCCAGAGGACAGCACCCCCTCCGCCTACGACAACCTGGACAGGGCGTCTCCACGTCAGGACGATGCTGCTGGTGGACGTCTGGAAGCCAGCTCTCCAGGAGGCCACACTGGTGGTGAGGAGGAGGTGCAGGAGGCCAGGCAGAGGAGGGACTCTTCTTCTTCGTGGTCTTCCTGCGAGGTTCTACCGCTGGATGAGAGCAGCGATGACGTGGGGGCAGTTAGTCCTGGTGTGTTGCCAGAACGGTCTAAAAGTTTGCCCTCAGGTCGGGTAGCGGAGGAAGAACACAGCGATAAAGACGAGCATGAAGATAATGAAGATGAAGATGACGTCCACCATCCAAACTCGCCGGCCTCCGGCTCGGTGCTCAGCGGCAGTCCTCTGAGTACGGGCAGCTCAGAGGTGTTCCTCCCATCTGGACCTCCAGACCTCCAGGGGCCTGAGGCCCACCTGCAGCCCGGCGACGCTCACTCGCTGCTGGCCGAGCTGAGGAAGCAGATGGCCCAGCAGAGGGCCGAGTACCAGGCCAGGATCCAGAGGTGAGACACTGGCACAGTCAGGTCAGGCTAAGCTAAGGTAAACTAAGATGAGTTAAACTAAGCCATGCTAAGCTAAGCTATGACAGCCTCCATCATAGTTGTATGATGTTCCAGATGTTCTATCAGCAGCTTCAAGGAAAATCAACACAACTGTTACTAATGATGTTAAAGTCTCGTCTAATTGTTTTTTTTCACATCTGTTTTCTGGCACAATTGCTGGTAGATTTTCAGTTTTTGTTTGTTTGTTTGTTTGTTTGTTTTACACTGTCTTTAAGTTGTAGGTGAGCTGGTGTGCTCGAGCGACTGTTACCAATAATAAAAATGTAAACTTTGGTCCACAGAGAGTCTTTAGAGAGCAGACTTTAACTTGACAACGTTCTCGTGTTCTTCCTGCGTCTGCAGGCTGGAGCGCTGCAACGACGTCCTCGAGCGGCAGGTCGCCGTCCTCCGGGTCAGCCTGGAGCGGCAGAAACGCAGCCGGAGCGTCGCCGAGATCAAGATCCGCAACATGGAGCGAGCCAAGGCCGACGCCGACCGCCGAAACTCCACGCTGCAGAGGGAGATGGAGATGTTCTTCCAGATGTACGGAGACTTCAAAAGAAGAGGAGGAGGCAAAGGAGGGACGGGCAGCATCTGAAGACGGTCGAGAACGTAGAGGCAGTCGGCTTCTGTCTGATCCCGTTTCCAGAAGATGGCGAGAACTCCATGGGCAGTTTCAGCGAGTTTATTCTCCTTCACGCTTTACTGGAACATCTCGTGGAGATTCTACTTCCTGCCACCAAAGTGAAGCCATAAAAGTTTCTCCTTTGAGAGACAAAACTTGTAGTAGACGACTGTGACAGACGTTCTGCAACCTACGATTGACGAAAGGCGTCGACTGCAGTATTAGAGAGAACCTTGCGACTCGATCCGTCCGACTCTTTCGTCCACAGGGAACATCGGCGCTGGTGTTTGCCTCCTTTGAACCAAAGCCAAGTCATTTTGGGGCAGTTTAGAGAGTTTCTGTCTCCAACAACGAGAGCGTCCTGCTGTTGGTGACGATAAAATCAATCCGTCTACAGGTCTGGTGTCCACACCTGGTGTCTTGACATATTTGTTGATGCTCCAGATTTCTCCGATTTGTCATTTTCTACAAGCTACAACCAATTGTATACTTCAATACAGGGAAAACCTTTATGATTGAATCATCTGAATGTTTCTTTGGTTTTTCACAACTCAGGAGGGAAGTCAGTGAGAATCAGATTTCTTTCCTCCATTTACAACAAACAGGACGCGTTAAATGTTGAAACTTTAGAAAATGAATTGCTTTGGATGGAACAAAATCTCATTTTGAGTTTGATGTCAGCAACATGTTTTTAAAAAGTTGGAACTGGGGCAAAAAAAAAAACAACAAAAAAAGACTGGAAAAGTTGTGTAGTACTAAGAACAAACAGCTGGTGGCACTATACCAGCCAATCAGTTTAATTGGCAACAGGTCAGTGACATAATTGGGTATAAAAAGAGTCTCCCAAAAGTAAAGACGAGAAGAAGTTCAGCACTCTGAGGAACTGTGTGAGCAAACAGGTCACGTTTGTTTCTTGAAGCTGCCGTTTACTGCACATCAGGACGTTAAAAAAGTCGGACAATCGAGAGAAATCTGTGCATGGAACGGACAAAGTGGAATGAAAAACGCTCGATTCTGTGTCAGGTCACACGTGAAACACCGGCTCTGCTCTCTAAGAATAAGTGGAACCTCAAAGGTTGCTGGAGGAACCTCTAGGAAACCTTATTTAAATGGGTTCCTTCATTTAAACTTTTTAAAAAATCTAACAAATCAAACACACTTGGTTTTCTTTTCTAGGATCTTTTTTTTTTTTTGGTTGCAGTAAACTGTGGAGCCGTTCTGAACAAAACAGGAGATTTGACTAAACCTCAAGTTCTAGAGGACGGTTTTGTCTATTTGGGATCTTGTCGGACAAATTTGAGCACAAATGATTTGTGACTCTGATTCTAAGCTTCCTATTGGCCTGAATGCAAAAAAAACAAAGAAAAAAAGTATGGTAGCACTTTATTTAGACAATCACAATCATTTTCAGAGAACCAAACTGAAACTCAGATCTACTCAGTTATCAAAGTTCAACAAGGAAAACGTTCCTTTTTTCTGACCAAATATTTCACGTTAAAACGTTTTTTGTGTTTTGTATTTTCTGAACGTTGTGCAGCTACATCTGGGTCAAAGATGGAACTCTTTATGATGGCTTCACATTGTTTTAAATATATATTTCAACCTTACTTAAAGACAACTTGATCTACTTGTCCAATATCGCAGATTCTGAATCAGTGACATGACGAGAAGGTTTTTATCTTCAACAGTTCCTGAGATTTTGTCTCTCAAACGGCCTCAACGTGTAAAAAAAAACCTGCTGAAAGTGGTCGACAGGTACGGAAGCTGAGAGCGGTCGTTTTCCGCTACTGTTCTTTCTTCGCCGTTTTCTCGAGATAACGAGTTAGTTTTCTCGTTATCTCAGGATAACAAGAATCGTTTTCTCGTGAAAACGAGATAATTTATCTCAAGAAAACCAACTTAATTTTCTCGAGATAACGAGATAATTGGTGTTTGTGTTTGCCCGCTCGTGCCCGGTCCCGTCCAGGTGTGTGGGAGGTCGCACACATCTGGGATTCCATCCTCAGTCACCAGCAGGGGGCCGGAGGACAGACCAGACCGGGCACGAGCGCTTCATTGTAAGTTGTCGTGCCCGGTCAGCTGTTCTCATGACACGTCATGTCAGAGTTCCCGGTCAGCTGTCAATATAAGATACGTCACACCAGGAAGTCCGACAACTTCTGATGAAGGCTGAAGTGACAGCCGAAACTGTCAACGAGATAATTATCTCGTTATCTCGAGAAAATGCCGCGGCCATGACCGCTCTGGGCTTCCGTAGACAGGCGAGTTTGTTTAAATTTTAAAAAATAAAGAAGAAGAAAAAGGATATTTCATAAAGTATTTGATATATTGAGCGTAAACTTAACAGATGTCTCATAATTGTTCATATTTTATTATAAAAACGTGTGGAGCAGAAGGACGCTGATGATGTAGGATTAAATAACTCAATAAGGGGCTGCAAGGTGGCTCGGTGGTGGTTAGCACCGTCGCCTCGCAGCTGGAAGGTCGCCGGTTCGCGTCCCAATGAGGACACCCGGGATCTTTCTGTGTGGAGTCTCCATGTTCTCCCCGTGCAGCGTGGGTTCTCTCCGGGTTCTCCAGCTTCCTCCCACAGTCCAAAAACATGCTGAGGTTAATTGGTGATTCTAAAATAATAGTTCATGGGTCCCATCATGCTTTTTAAAAAAAATATTTCTGTTGAACCACAAGTCGAAAGCAATGTTGTGATTTTTATTACATTTTTGTTTATTACTACTTTTGTCAATTTCAACTGTTTTTCTTCCTTCTTTAATGGGAGGGTAGGAACACATCTGAGGATTACTGTATGTATTTTTTGCCAACGTTCCTCCCTGACTTTGGCTGCCGTGTTGTTTTATTGTATTTTTAAACTTTTCCGGGTCACGTTGAACTTGCACCAGATCTGAATGAAATCATGAAATCAAAAAAACTCAGAGTTGTTCAAAGCAGTGGACGAGCTCCTGTAGCTGTTTCTGCTTTAAAACTTGTTGCTGGCATTAAACTCAAAGTGAGGATTTACTTTTCAATAAACAAACGTCTCAGTGTTGACGTTGCTTTTGCACCGTTTCCAATCAAACACAAGGTCTAAATGGTTTGTCAAACATTCGACGTTGTGTTTTCTTGATGAATCAGAATCCACTTTCCCGCCGGCTACCAGACTGTTCCTCGCTGTGATGACGACGTAACGGACTGAATGTTCTGCTCAGCGACTTGTTTCAGGAACTAGACCGACCCGCTGTGCAGGAATCCACTGAAGCTGAAGCTCTTCTGCAGCAGCAGAAAGACGCCGTTTTTGTTTTTACCGTTTCAGCGTCAGAAAGACTGAAAGCGAGCGATGCATGAAGACACTTTTATACCGACGAAGCGTTTCAGTTCCGCCTCCTTGAAGCTGAAACTGCTCCTGATTTACTGCCTGTGAACGAATGTGCATAAAGATGAAAACCTGCTCGTCTCTCTAGAGATCCACACGGAACATTTACGTCGTTAAACATCAACTGTTCTGTTTTGTCAGGATTTAATAAACTGTTTTTTAAACCAAAAACAATAAAAAAATAAAAAAAGGACGATGGACTCGTTTGTTTTTTCTGATGTAACATTTATTCCCAGAGACTATAAATCAACGAAAACCGTCTCCTTTGAACATCGACTAGAAAAACAACAGATAATTTAATTCAGTCTCACGTACAGGAGGACGAGGAGGAGGAGGCGATTGGGTCGTGATGGGGAGAGGCTTAAAGGGAACAGCGTCACACTTTAAAAACACTTTGTGATCACAAACGACAAACCGTTTAACTTAACAGAAAGCGTCTACTGGCTACAGCTGCTGAGTGTGTTCAGGATGAGACGACAACGACGACGGATTGGACACCGGCTACAGGTGGGAAAAAAATGACTTCTTGAAACCTTTAGCTGCTGTTTGTTGGATCGATTACCAGCAAATAGACTGATCCCACTTCATAAAAAACAACAACAAAAAAAAAGTGCAAAACAACGACCGTCGGCTTCGTTTAACGCGCCGGAGCTTTGCACCAATCTCCTTGCAGACACTTTGCATATGTACTGAACACTCGCTGCACTTTCTAAAACAAAAGCCTGCATCCTGGTCACTCCCTCGTCCGGTTAAGGACACGTTTCCACCCGGCAGACGTCTGAAGCACCTGAACTCATCGGAAATCCTTCGACCGTCTTTTCTGCCTAATTTCAGAGCTCGGAAAAACATGCGGCCGGCGAGTTTTGGTCCAGAGTTTGACCTCCGTGCGCTCACAGCAGGAAGCTTTTCACTCTTCTGATCCCCAAAAGGAACAATTGTAATAATAATAGTAATAATCTGTTGCTGCGTTTTCTACTTTAAAAGCAAAACAAATGGGTGAGCAGGAGCCTGACAACTTTCCTGAGACTAAATCTTTCCATTTTATAATATATTTGGAATACTTTTGTTCCGTCGGTTGATGCTAAACTACGCTTGTGGTTCTTCTGCACGTCCCGTTTGGCTGAAAAGACCCTTTGAGACGACAAACAAAAGGGTTCTGGAGACAAACGGGAACGCTGTGCATCTCGGAAAAGGTCTGGAAAGAGATAAAAGTGGATAAAGTGCATTGAAACGGAAACGTTTTAAACCGGGATCATCTCCACCTTCAGCTACACAAAGTTCTCTTCTGGACGTTTGGGCCGATGCTGGTCGGAGCCCACGTTGGTGACGGATGAGAGGAATGTCAGGAGTTCTTTTCTTCGTCTAAATGTCTATTTTCTTTTCTTCATATATATATATTCTGATTTGTTTCAGTGGCAAAGATGGTGGAGAGTCCAGTGGTCATGTGAAGCAGCTGAAGGTCCCACGAAATGAACGGAGGTTTTCACAAACTGGTTAAAAGAAAGAAAAAAAAAAGCAAAAAGGGGGAAACGTCTCCTCCTGCAAAGCCAGATGCACTTGAATGGAAAAACCTGAAGTCAAACCCATGCATCAGGTGTTTGCACAGAAAATAACTCGAGTTCATCACAACAAGTCAAACACAAGACGTGACCAGCGATGGACGTTTTCAGTTTGGATCCTTCATTTACGGCTCAACTTCCAGATAAACCTGCACGTTTGTTGGAACCCTTTAAACTTAACTTAAAATGAAGTAACACAGGAAACAGTGGAGAACGAGCGTTTGTGAAACAGGACAAACGGTGCAGGGGGGCGTTTACGTCGTGGGACCTTCAGGGCGTCGCTCGGCTTGGAGGCGTTCAGGCGACCCCTAGAAGCCGGAGGGCGTCAGGATGTTCATGTCTCTGTGTTTGAGCTTGTGCGGCCGAGCTCCCTGCCGCCGGCCGTCCACGGTGGGGATCTCCATCTTGGGCGGCGACACCTTCTGGGCGGCGGGGTTGTCGGCCAGCCGGGTGGCCTGAGTCTTCAACACCTCCATCGGCGTCGGCTTCTGGGCGCCGCGGTACGCCTGCAGCGCAAAGCCTGCTGGGAGGAGAGAGGAGAAAGGAGTCAGCGGTGAGGAGGTAAATAGGAAAACAGAGCTCCAAATGTGAGAGTTGAACTTCAGATTCCAGGTGGCGACATTTAGTGATCAGGCTGATTTGGTGCTACTGCGTTAGCCACAGTGGGCACCGTGTTCCAATCAAAAAACTCTGATTATTATGAAATAAAACTTAAAGAAAAAGGTCCAGACTTGATGGTAAACATAGTCTTGCTGCTAAAAATTGTATGAATTATTTACTTTGGCTTCCTACGATTAAATGAAGAGGATCAGCTGCAGTGTTGACGTTTAAATAGTCGTAGAAAATCATTGAAGTCCCTTGTGGACACTGACTGACATTAGAATGAATAATTAACACTCACCGGCCTTTATTAGGTTCAGCTGCTCGTTAAATATCTAATCGGCCAATCACGTGGCAGCAGCTCAATGCAGTTCGGCAGATGATCTGCTGAAGTTCAAACCGAGCTTCAGAATGAGGAAGAAAAGGTGATTCAAGTGGCTCAGGCTGGTCTGTTTCAGGAACTGTTTGTCTAGTTTCTCACACAAACGTCTCTAGATCTTACAGAAAACTGTCTGACAAAGAGAAAATATCCAGTGAGTGAAAACGCGAGGTCAGAGGAGAACGACTGGCTTCAGATGATAGAAAGCCAACAGTAACTCAAGTAACCAACCAAACTATGCAGAAGACCGTCTCTGAACACGCAACACGTCCGACCTTGAAGCAGATACAGTAGCAGAAGACCAACCAGGTGGCACTTCTGACAACAGAAGGTTGGAGAAGCGCTGCCTGGTCTGACGACACATTCAGATGGTCAGAATGAAACAGCATGAAAACATGGGTCCATGCTGCCTCGTATCAACGGTTCAGGCTGCTGCTGGTGTGACGGTGTGGAGGATGTTTTCTCGGCACACTTTGGCCTCTTTAGTACCAACTGAGCATCGTCTAAACTCCACAGCCTCCCTGAGTGTTGCTGCTGAACACGTCCATCCCTTAATGGCCACAGTGGACCATCTTCTGATGCTACTTCCAGCAGAACTCCGACGGCCTCCACAGCCACCAGATCTCCAACAGAGCAGCTTTGGGACGCGGTGAGACGGGAGATTAGCATCATGGATGTGCAGCCGACAAACTGCGCGATGCTTTCATGTCAACATGGACCAAAACCTCTAAGAAATGTTTCCAGCAGCTTGTTGAACTAAGGCGGTTCTGAAGGCTAAAGAGGTCCAACCAGGTACTAACGAGGTGCAGCTTAGACTCATTTTTGGTCTCAAGCTTGTTTAATGAACTGCTGCCTTCATGTGAGGCGTTTAGGGAACATCAGTGAATTGTAGCGTCTACCGATAACCAGACGTTGAGCAGATGAGGAGTTTAGATGTCTACAGCTCCAGGAAAAGACTGGTGAGGAAATAAACGGTTTTTCTTATTAAAATGTTTTAGAAATATCAAGTCGTGCAACTCTGCAGCTTCTTTTTTCTACCAGGTTTCTGACTGCATCGGTTTTTATCTTCGCTGTGGGTTTCTAAGGACAGATCGGCTTCACGCTGCCTGAAGCTCTTTAGTTTATTACTCCAAATGTTATTTAAACGCTTCAGCACGAATCTTTACCTCAAGAGTCCAAAGTGTGGCCTGAGCTGTGTGTTCTTTCTCGGCGTCGTGTGAACTTTAACGACAAACTTGTGCGTCACTCAGCGAAGACAAACAAACAGATTATTTAAGCGGAATAAATAAAGTAGGTCGACATTCTGTTTGGTGTCATTACGCAACAACAGATCGATGTGAGGTCAGATGTTACATAAAATGTTTTCAAAGTGAAATGAATCTGATTTATCCCCACCCCCTCGACTTCTGTTTATCCTCAGAGACATTTTATTGGCGTCTTGGTTTTAACTGTTTGACACGTTTTTCGCAGGTTTCTGATTTGATAAAAATGTATTCAAATGAAAAGAGGAACTTTTATTATTATTGTTGTTTTTTTATGATAAGTTCTTGTCGCCCTTCAGGCTGCGCCGTCGTCACACCGCTGCCAAAACAAACACTGTTTTCAGGCTTCTGGGTCAGTTTGTATCATGTCAATGTTGCTCCACCGCCTCAGGTTGTTTTTTAGAGTTGATTTATTTGAGACCCAAAGTTAAGTTCTGAGGAACATTTCAGCAGAATTGTGAGAGTTTCACATGTTTTCAGACCCGGGAATGTTCTCAAATGGGCCTCTTGTGTTGTTATATTCTAACATATGAATGAATCCACGTCACCATTTTGTAATATTAGTAAAACAACGGATAGGATAAATCAAATCCCACAGAAGTCAGAGGCCTTAAAAGTTGGTAAAAAGTCGACTAAAGATTCTATTTTTACCGTCAAATACGGATCCATCCATATAAACACACTTACAGGAAGCCCAACACCACCTGCGTTGAAAGATGTTGGACTTTTTTTTCTCATTTTCAAGAATAAATAATTAAAACATTTGGCCTCTGCTGGAGCCACTCCATCACTTCTTTCTGGAGAAGCTGAAGCTTTAAATGGTTTCCCAGCTGAGATGTTTTCGTGAAGGTCTAAAACTTCAGCAGACATATTTTACTGAACTCAGTTTTGGGTCCCAGATAACAAATAAGTGAACTTTGAACAAAATCCGAGCCGACGGAGCAACACGTTTATTTAAAATGACACTGACTGAAGTCAAATAAGCAAACTGGATCATCTGGTTTGTAAATTAGCAGCACCTTTATCTGCCGCTACGCTGCAGGGCTCATTAATATGAATCCTAACAGATCCGCATTTATGCAAACAATGCAGATTTTAAACAGAGCAAAGCCTGTGATTTGCTACGAACGAAGCGTTTGCTAATGAGTCCAAAAACTTAACGTGACTTTGAATGAAGCAGCTTTTGATATTAAAGTTTCTCATCTTTAAGCTGAGGACTGTTTTATTTGATGCTAACTTACCGAAAGTCATGCAGCAGAGCAGGATTCAACAGCTCAGAGCGAACCGTCCTGATTGTAGGAATCTAACGGCCGTTTCTCCGACGTTATCATCGACCTTCGGTTAAATTATTCCAATCAAAGTCTTATCTCGCTGAGACGAACGAACTCTGTCGGACCGTTCAGAAAATCCAATGAATGAGCAGACTCGTGGGGTTTCTGTCCAGATATGTTGCTCAGTGTTTGCCGTTGGTCTGAAGGTCGTTTATTTGCCCACTAACCCAAATACTGGATTTACTCGGCTCACCTTTCACCATGTTTTGCTTGGTGAAGGGAGAACCGACCTTGTCTACCCACAGCAGAGGTTCATTCAACTGTTCTGCTGCAGTGTTTATCTGTACGTTGTGCTACGCTACTTGTGTGACCTCTCTGTGGCTCCGTTCAACCTCTACACACCAACGATTCAGCCTGTTTGGTCAGAATGTGATGCTTCACACTGGGGCGAAGCTGCTACCTGCACTTGAGGAGTCTGATCCCAGGTCCGAGGTGGACTTCTGGAAAGGCCGAGGTCCAAACGCTCCCCACCGCTCGACAGCACCTCCGACTCCTGCTGCCGCCGCCGCCGGGTCTCCCGTCATGTCCACGCTGCTGTTGGAGGAGCTGATGCTGATCTCTGAGCTCGTGCTGCTGAACCAGCTTCTACACAAACACACCAGGAGCGTAAGATGGACAAACTCAAACAGGATCCTGACCGAAGGATGCCGGATACTCGGTATGTTTGTACCTGCGCTGAAGCTTCGGGGAGCTGTGTGGAGTGTTGGATGGAGTGGACTGGGTGGAGGAGTTCTGCCGCTCTTCTCTGGCCTCCAGACTCTGGATCTGCAGTTTCTGAACAGAAATAAGACGAAAGGCTTTCAGTCTGTGTCAAACAGGAATCGGCTTTTTACTGCCATGCACTGTGGAATTCTGAACGTCACATCTGGCTGCCAACCGCAATGAACAGGTGACAGTCATTATTATTTAACCTGAAGTACAAGTTTTGGTCTTATTAATTCATATGATTTTAGCATTTAGCGTGCTACTCCTGAACATTAGCAGCACTACCAGCTACTGTTGCGCTGTGCTAACAGATACTAAGCATCAGCCTGTGTTAGCAGCTAAAAATCCTAGTTTACCGTTAGCATGAGCTTCAGGTATCAAGCTAATCTGAAAAATTAGTGAAACAAAACACACAAAGTGAAGTTTTGCTCTGCTGAAATGGACCACTTATTTAACTCAAACCAGATAGACTTTTTTTTTCTTTGTCTTTAGCATGCTGCTCCTGAATGTTAGCAGCATTAGCATCAGCCAGTAGCTAGCTAAACTGGACAATTTTGAAAGTGATTAATTCACAAAACCTGAAAAATGAGTCACACAAAACAGCTGAAAAGCATCATTTAATTCACTCCAGGTACATTTTCTTGTCTTTAGCATGTTGCTATTGAATGCTAGCAGACACTCAGCTCTTAGCCTGTAAGCGTCGGAAAATCCTAGTTTAGCGCTAGCATGAACCTCTTGTAGTTAGCGGAACTGGACAGCAGGCAGACAGCTTTTTTTGACAGCAGGAAGGAGCACTCGTTTTATGCGACCCTGTACAGACGGTCAGCAAACACACCTGTAACTCCACCTCACTGGGCAGTAAGAGGCTCCACCTGGTGGCTAAAGCGGGTACAACAGCTGATTGAGAATACGTTTTCTGTCACGCTTCTTCCTCGTTTTTTGCTTTATCAGTTAGTACATTTCTTATTGACTGAATTGTTTACAGCAATAATCGATTATGTTTTAATTATTAGCATCGATACACGTGACAGGAGGGTTGGTCCACACACAGTAAAGATAATTTGACAGAAACTGATGCATTTTCCTGTTGTTTCTGACCATTTGATAAATAAAAACACAGATTACGGCTGAGTAAATGAAAACCTAATTAAGAAAACTGGTTAAAAAATATGCACTATATATATTTTACTCTCAGTTGTTATTCTAAAACCTCTTTTGGGCTGCCAGAAACTCCCACATGCAGGACAGAACCACATTCAGCCAATCACAGCATGAGATGTGACCCACTTGTGACCCAACGAGGAGTAAAATGAGACCGTCTTTTAAGCACATCTTGTCAGAACACGACGGTTCTCGGGTGTTCACAGCCTAAAGCCAGTGCAGTTTTATAGCAAACTGTCACCTACTTATGTGCTGAAACCTGGAGGAACTGTTTGTTCGCGACAACCAGGATGTCACGCCTCAAAGTGTCAGGGTCGGGTCTGTCCAACCACACAAAGGGGTGTTTAATAGAACTTAACCTATTTTAAAACTCCATAAACCAAACGCAGCTCTCCGAACAGCCACTAAGTGATAATGGGCGGCGTCTCGGCTGTACGTTTGTGTGTCTGACCTGCAGGGAGTCGGGCACGCGATGGTGGAGCCTCGTCTCCTCGGCGGTGAGGCCTTTGTGAGGCGTGTAGCTGGTGTCGGTTAGACCTGCCCTCTGCTCAAACTTGTACATGCTGTCCTGAGTTTGCTCTGAGAAGCAAAACAGGGGAGAAAAAAAAACAACAGGTGCAATATTAATTTTCATGTTAAATGAAAAAGCGTCAAACACTGTTAAAGCAAAGTACATTGCAACAAGAGCTAACAAACGGACGTCTATGGACGTTTGCAGTGACAGACATGGAGGTGAATATTACAGTAACATCATCAAGTCAGATTAAAATAAAAACATGAATTCAGAAGGTAACAGCGAACTGCTTTACCTCGACTTGAGCTCTAGTCTTTTTTTCTGACTTTAATCTTTTCTGGATTATTTGAGCTTTTTTGTGCTTCTTGACACGTTAATATTTTTTTAGTTTTGGTATATTTTTAGAAGATGAACACAATTGATGAAGATAAAGGTTTTTCCATGTCCAATCGTCGGTGGCTTTTGGTCAGCTGTGAAACTTCATCAGAAACTACGTATATTTAAAAAGGACTCTGGGATTTTGTCACCTTAAAATATCAGAATACTTTGTGAGATATGCATATAAGTTTAATACATTTTTCCCACATTAAAATTTGAGGCTGTTTGAACGACAACATCTCAGGAACCATTAAAGGCAGAAGCCTGATGTTTTACTGTTATTTCTGCATTATTCTAACCAAGATGAATTTCTAGGACTCTGCTCTACTCGGTTTAGACCATCTACCAGCACTTATGTTTCTGTGGTACAACTTGTCGTTCCTGCTCATCAGTTATGAAAGTAGTCTGTATGTTTTGTGTTATTGCTGCATATGGCTCAGAAAATATCACTCGTTGACGTCTGCGTTGTTATTTTTTTTATATAATGTGTTCAAGACAACTTTTTTTTTTCTTCATATTTCAACTCCCCCATAATCAGAGAATATTTCATCTGCTTGTCCAGTACTACTGATTCTGAATCAGTGGCTTGATGAGAAATAACGGTGAAAACTTAACGTCTTTATCTTTAATAGTTTCTGAGATGTTGTTGTTAAAAAAAAAAAAAAAAAAGGTAGTGAATGCGTTTTTTTAGAATAAATATCTCAGCAAGTATTTGATATAATAAACTAAAAGTTCTCAGATATCTTAATAAATGTCCATATCTTATGCTGTAAACATTTCAGGTGAAAGAAGCGACTCATCAAATCAGATGCAACGTACTGGTGATGAGAGAACTCATGATGATGGACGAGGCCTTGGCTTTCACTACGGTTGGTGACCTGGAGGGGGCGCTGTCCTGCACCGTGGGCTGGCTGGCTGTACAAGTTTCATCCTCCTGGTGGGAAAAAACAAAACAAAACACACAAACATCATCATCATCTGCACTCTTTGGCTCGATGACGCGACAGGTGAAGCCGTGTGTGAAGAGCAAGAGGAGGAGTCGCCTCGCCTCGGCCAGCTGCGAGAACTTCCTCTCGGGTATGACGGGTCGCCTCCACAGGTTGTTGATGCTGATGTCGTGGGGGGGCGTGGACATGGGGGCCTCCAGGTTGTCGTCGTAGCTGAGGGCGCGCCGGGTCATCCCGATGGGAAGCTTCATCCCGCCCATCCCAGAACCCTCGATGGCTGCAGACACAAACAGCAGCAGCACATGAAGAAACGATGGCGGAAACTCTTCAGGGGGGGTTTTTCTTTAACATGTGCATTAATGTTGTCAGTTTTTAAAATTATTTATATTAAATAAAGCAACAATGAACTGATCCTGTTAGCAATCTGACACACAAAATGTGTGCTTTTGTGAGTCCATGTGTTATCTTTAATAAGGAAGAAATGGGGCATAGAAACATTCTGCTTTGCTACAACTAATTAAAAGTGAAAAGTTGTTTATGAAGCAATATTATAGAGAAAAGAACTCGACAGGATGCAGTGAACAAAGCAGAAAATCCTGCTTTTGTGTCGGTTCACTGCTGCTGCTGGACGCTCCGGTTTCATGGAGGAAATCTGAGAACCGTCAGACTTTGGTTGTTGTTTTTGTTCATGTTCAGACATTCTGTTGGAGCCACTAGACTCAGATTTTAACCCTATTCAGGACCTTCATGCTGCCGTACGTACAAGATGTTTCAGGGTTCACTGAAGAATATGTGAATATTTGTTGGTCTTCATTACAGACTTTTATACTCTACAGGGTCAGTGGTGCAGCAGCAGCTTTATATCAAATATATATGTATTGTTTTATTAGTTATACATGATGTACCGTATATATTTTATTTTATTGTCATTATTTTAATTATTAGAATCACACAAACTCTGCTCTGCCCTTTGTTATGGTGTAGAACCTTCACTTGGGGGTCCCAGTACCCCACATACGCTTCTGGTCGCCCACCGTGCCCTATAAATGGGTTTTTCCCGCCTGACCGCTCCCCTTTTGTTCATGTATTCTGTGGGAGACGTAAGCCAGTCTGTGCTGCTGTTATCTGTGTGTTTTCTAACATACATGATTTCACTTATAAGTTTACGTCCCCAGTTCTAATCATTTGATTTCTGTCGTGGTACAAGTCTGCAACTGACAGCGGATTTTTTATTAAGTTTTTGTCGTCTGTCAAGTTACAATAAACGGAGATCGCCTCCAAAAAGATCCACGCTTCAGTGTTACACAACGCAGTAGAGAATCCACCGGTTACAGATGTTCAATACATGTTCTGATAAGTGGACGTATTTTTGATTCCAAATGCATGACAAATGTCCCTAAACCAAATGGCGTCGGGTCCAAAAGACCCCAAAAGTCCTGAACAGGGTTAATAAGAGGTAAGAAAAGCTCGTGACTCAATGTGTGACTCAGTGTGGACGTGTGACTCCAGTCTGTGTGGAAAACTATCGGAGTACCTCTGGTGTGCCTGAACGTATTAGTCACACGGTCTGCTGTCAATCTGCCGCTAAAATTGGAACTCAACAACTAACTTGAGTCTTTTAGGAAGCAGAGGCATCATTTTGTGTGTTTCAACCATCACATCACAGGCTGCTGACAGATGAATTCTGGGACCGTTGAACGTCTCACTTCAGAGCCTTCGCCCTACTGCTGCTCTAACAGCCTTTACTTTTCTAGTTTTAGATTTTCCACCAGCTATAGCAACCAGGCTGCAGAGATTTGCTCCCATTCAGCCACAAAAAGGATCAATAAGGTCCAGATTGGATGCTCCTAAACCCTTTCTTTGTCTCATGGCTCTACAGGATCGCTGTCCTTCCTCAAGCCGCTGCCACAGAGCAGGAAGAAAGCTGGTATTTCCCAGCATGACCTCATGTAAACACTGGAAAAAAAACATGCCCCAGACAAAAACGTCACAACTTCTGCTTCAAGAAACACTCACCTGGTAAATCGCCAGAACCGGACATGACTGCGGTGCGACAGTGAACGAGATCGATCAGGGCAGGACCTGAAAATGAAACACAGAGCATAACAGAACTGCACACCTCTGAATAAAACCCCACACGTCTCCTGTCACAGTAATAATTTACAATCGACACCCACGTATGGCGGGATGGATCATTAACAGGCGTCTACCTTCCTGCTTCGCTGCTGTGACGTGGGCGGGGCGGAGCGGTGGCAACGGTTACATGGGTCTGTCCGACGCACACAAAAGCCTCTGGCAATGCATTGTGGGAGAGCAGCGAGGCCAACTGGGGACACAAGAGAGGTCAAAGGTCAGCCGAGACACAATCACATCCATTCATCTCAGAGGCAAACCATTGTTACACAAACTCTGGAGAAAAACTGATCAGCAAATGTGTTTAAACAAGCCTGAGTTCCCCTCAATCTGCTGCTCTACTTAGTTTAAACAAACAGAAGTTAAACTCAGTCTCGCGTGCTGTTGTGCAACATCAACACATTCAAATGTGTATGATCAATATTTTGCACATTTAAAAGACAGTGCACCATATAGACTTCTCTACATGTAGAAGAATCTGTGTTTCTTCTTACAAACCTGTGCATTACTTTTAGTTTCCACATTCAGAGAAATCTGTGCAACATCTGGATTTTCTACATGCATTAGAATCTGTGCACGAACCAGCAGAGCCTTTGTTTATTTCTTTCTCCGTGTCTCCTTTGCAGCTGCTGTGGGATCAATAAAGGATTATCTTATCTTATTCTAGTTAAACAGGTTAAAGTATACATTTTTGTCCTTTCAAAATACTGAAAAGCTGGTGAGAGAGATGCTGACAACAATAAACAGAAGCCAGATCCGGTGGATGTGAGCAGAGACAGCTCAGTGTCTGGCTCTGGATTATTCCAGAGGCTGGCGGTAGACAGGCGGCATTACATAACTGCTGCAGCAGGGATGCTGGTCGGCTGACACACGCCTCAGAGGAAAAGATGACATTTTGTGGTGTGAGGGACATCAAGCGAGCCTCGCAGCAAACTGCAGCTCATGAATCAAGTGTTTTTCAGCTCAAATGATGATAATTTCACTATTTCAAACAGAACCTGGGATGAAAATCAGCATCCTGTATTCAATCTTTCAGCACAGCGGCATCACAGACTAAAATAAAATGAACCTACAGCAGATTCATGGAAGCATTTCACCAGCATTAAGCACATTAGAGGTCAAAGCGATGCGCTTCAGCCTGTTCAGAACTCCATTCAGGAATGTGGCGTTTTATGGTTCTGACCAGTGAGACCAGCAGACACGCTGCTGTGGGAAATGTTTAGGGTCACATGATGTCATTTCAAATTCTGACGACATCGTAGTTAGCTAAGAACATTTATTTTAACGAAATTCATACAAACTGTTGGTTAATGTCGCTAAAGGACAGAACAGAAGGGACGAAGGTAAAACGCTCAGTTCGGCAGTTCTGCAGATGCGACCACTGACTGGACCGTTTCAACTCAGCCCGGATTGAACCAGGGCTGCTGCGCGTCCACAAAATGCCAGAAATCAAGTTCTTACAGCAACACAACCTGCGGAGAGACGCTGCCTCCTTAAATTATCCGGTTTTTAAATGAAGCTCGGCTGCGGCCACTGCGGAAGATAGCGGAACCGGTCCGAACGAGGCGCCGAGCGGCGGGCGGATAACGGTGTCTGACAGCAGCGATGTCGGTTCGGTTTGATTTATTTTCGCTCACCGGGTAGAAACGGCGGCTTCAAAGCGACGACAGACACATCGGTGATCCTCCAACGTCGACCTGTCCACGTCCAGAGCAGCGGAGTGTTTGGTTAGCGGCCATTATTGTGTTCGGTGAATAAAAGACGCTTCCTCTGCTGGACGGTACCTCCGCTCGTTCTCGCCAAACATCGCGAGATTTCAATCCAACACTCTTGAGGTGACGTATTCCCAAATATATATATAAAAATAACTTCAGCCACTTTTTGAAAATAAAAAAACAAAGAAGCATATACAGAAGCTTCTAGAAAATAAATAGAACAATTAAATAAAAAAAATAAACAAACATTTAAATGATTTCCATGCATAAATGAATCAATACATATATAAATAAATGTAATATTAATATATAAATCTAATGCAATCTAATAAAACAGCTCTGCCATACATTGTTTAGAAGCTTCTACATTTTAATATTTTGTTGACATAAAGGTGATAATTATATTTTGTATTTATTATTGAGGTCATTGTGTGCAGCAGGTGTACGTTGTACAGCATTACAATAAAACTGTTGTTGATATTTTGTCCACACGAGCAGGCCAATAAATTGGGAGCACATTTAAATCTAATGCAGTGCAGTACACCGCCTCTACCCACAAGGACTTCAACGTAAAGTGGAATTATTATGTTTTTAACAGCATAAAAGAAAACTGAAAATGTAGAAGCTTCTTTACCATAAAACTTCTGGCAAAGCTGTTGTGTTGTTGTTGCATGAGATTTAACAGTTAATATAAATATAAATGCATTTTCCAAACTACATTATTATTTATTCCAGGATTTATTTTTATAGCTGTAGTAATGAACAGAAAAGCACATTGTTCTCACTGGTTGTAATTCAGCTAAATAAAAGTGATTTTACTAATATTTGCCATTATTTAAAATCAAAATTATGTATATTCAGGATTTAAAATTTGTAAATAATTCTATAAACAGTTTAAACTAGACACATGTTCCCTGCTTTGCTAAATTATAAATATATCTTGTTAATTCAGAAAATAAAAAAGTATTAATTTACATGTAATAAAAAGGCCAAAAATCACATTTCTAATCTGCATTTTTGCAAGCAGCAATTTATTAAAATTGAACTATTTTATTGCATTTAAATAAGATTTTTTTCCCCTCTTTTTTTCTTTTTAAAGTATAATTATTTTACAGATATTTTTCGCTTTTTTTCACAGCTAACTGTGTACTATTTTAATGTTTTTATGTGTTTTTTTTCTGGAAACCTCGCTGCTAGTTTTCACCTTTTATTTCCTTGAAGCATCACGGTGCTGTTTTTCTGAGTTGTGAAGCTGCATCACCATCATGGAGGCTCTTTGTCTCCACCTTTCGGCTCTTTGTCTCCACCTGGCGGCTCTTTGTCTCCACCTGGCGGCTCTTTCATTCCCACCTGTAGAATTCCACTTAACTTTACTGTGAATCTAAACTACATTTCTGTTTACTTCCGGCAGTAAATCACGACAAGACAAACCCACACAGAGCAGGCTGATGAGAGGAGAAGGTGTTCGGATGCGCTGGGCTCAGTCCGAACCACCGTGCGCCTTTTCCAAAGTTTCTCGCCGGAGTCAGGCGGAACTTTGCTCTCCCTCCTCCTGGATATTTGCATACAGCCTCCAAGGCGCCTCCCTCCCCGTGAAAACACTCCTCCGACCGGACTTTCCTCTCCAGTTTGCGCCGCGGAGGAGGAAGTGAACCCGGGGCGGACCGACAGCTCTCCTGTCTGGCTTCATCTCCAAACTTTTACGCGCTGTTCGTCTCTCCGCTCCTGCTCGGGCTCTGATCCCATCGATCGCCATGTCAGTCCAGACGAGCCAGAAGACCACGACCACCTACCGGACGGTCAACTTGGCCTCTCCGGAGCCGGTGACGCGCACCGTGATCTCCGGCGGCCAGGTGTCTCCGGTGTCTCCAATGTCTCAGCTGTCGCAGGTGTCTCCGGTGTCTCAGGTGTCGCAGGTGTCGACGCTGCCTTACGCGCTCAACGGCTCGTACGAGTCGGTGCGCTACCTGGTGCCGATGCAGCAGGCCGTCCAGCAGCAGTCCTACGTGCCGGTGCAGCAGGCGGTCCAGCAGCAGTCCTTCGTGCCGGTCCAGCAGGCCGTCCAGCAGCAGTCCTACGTCCTGATGCAGCAGCCGATGATGCAGCAGATGGTTTCCCCGGTGTACCTGCAGACGTTGCCGCGTCTGAGCGTCAGCAGCCTGGAGTCGGACCTGATGTACCAGCAGAACACGGTGGAGGTGAGGCCAAAGCGCGTTATGAGAGAGAGAAGTGCAGCACAGCAACAGCTTCTAATCCTGAAAGTCAAAGTTTGTTTTAAAAAACATCAGTGGCACAAACCAGCCATGAAGTTACTTAATACAACTATTAAAGTCCTATAAAAGCCATTTCCTGTTCTCCAAATATGTTTTGCACAAACCAATAATCAACAACATTTAAATCTACTTTATGAAAAGTTTAATGCGCAGTTTCCCTTGTTGAGTGAAGTTAAAGTAAAAAAAACATCCAAAATGTGAGATCTTTACAGAGTAATGATTAGAAATAACCTGCTGCAGGTAGAACATCAGCTGTTTTCTATCATTATTTTAATACAAAAATGGATTCTTGGTACCTTTAAACCTGCTTTGATGACAACAATATCCCTTTAATGTGCGGTTTACCTGTTAAAATGCTAAAAACAAGATGAATAATGAGTAATAACCTGCTGTGGGTAGAACAAGCAGCTGTTAACACAACAGCGATGATATTTTCTATGATTTTTTGAAATAATAAAAGGAGTCTTTGGTACCTTTAAACCTCCTTTAGTACAAAAAAATATGACTTTGATGTTTCAGTTCAGTTTCTCTTGACATGAAGTTAAATGACAGCAAACATCACCAAACCTGAAATCCCTGCAGAAGAATGATGAGAAATCACCTGCTGCAAGTAGGACAGGAGCTTTTAACACAACAGAAATGATGTTTTCTATGATTATTTTAATAAAATAAGGAGTTCCTGCTACCGTAAAACCTCATTATGTTGCAAAAATACCAGATTAATATGTGGTTTGGCTGCTCATGTGAACTTAAATGCTACCTAACTGTACAATTTCCCAGTTTTATGATATTTTCTGTTATTATTTTCATACCTTTCAACCTCCTTCACTATAAAAACATATGAGTTTAAGGTGCAATCTCCCTGATGATGCCACGTTAAACACTAGAAAATCACACAAAACATGAGTTCTTTGCAGAGGAATCATAAGAAACAACCTGGAGCAAGTAGGACAGGAGCTTTTAACACAACAGTACTGATATTTTTTATTTTGAAAATCATTTGATTATAGAAAGAAAAATCAGTCTAATGTGTGGTTTCCCTGAAGAATAAACAGAAAAAACCTCAAACAAGTGGCTGTGAATGTAACAGTGACACAGTTTGGTGACATTTTCTGTGATTATTTTGCTAAAAGAATAAATGCTTGGTGCCTTTAAACCTCCTTCATAATAAAACAAAAGAGTTTAATCTGTAGTTCCTGTTGTTGAGTGAAACTAAATGATAAAAAAACAGAACAAAACATGAGATGTGTGCAGAGGAGTGACTGAGCAAGTAGGACGAGCAGCTGTCAGCAACAGTCTTCTAGTGTTTTCTATGATTCTTTTAATTGATAATTAGTTTTTGTACTTTAAAACCCCTTTTTGTTGAAAAAAAATATGAGTTTAATCTGTAATTCTCTTTGTTATGTGAAACTGAATTATTAAAAACAGCACACAGCTGCAGTTCTCCACCATTTGATTATATTTTCTATGATTATTGGAATTAAAAATGAGTTCTTGGTACCTTTAGACCTCCTTTGTGATAAAAACTATGAGTTTAATGAGCGGTTTCACTCGTTATGTGAAGCTAGATGCTGAAAAACAGCCCAAAACATAACAGTGATGCACTTCTCTCCAGCTTTATGATCTTTTCTATGATTTTTTTTTTAAATAAGCAAAAGCAGTTCATGTTTATCTTTTTGTGTTGTGATGGTAGTTGTTGGGTTTCTTGGCATTCATGTGGATTTACAGGCAGTTTGTTGAAGGACAGACTTCATGAGACCAGCTGCTCAATCCTACCAGGTCTCTAACCCATAAATCAGTTTGTTGTCACACCGAGCTGCTCGACATCTCGGCCGCATCGTTAGTTCGTCACGGTCGCCGACATTCGTCCGAGAACTCCAGCGAGGTGTTTCTGAACCGGCGCCGGCTCGTCACTTCTCACACTCTGCTCTGGATTTTCACAGCCTGTGACCTCAGACGGGTCGGATGGAAGTCTGAGGCTTCTGGCTTGTTTGATTCAATATGCAAATGTCTCACCTGGAGACACCTGCAGAATGTGAGGAATGAAGTCCTGCAGCCACGACAACATGGAAGTTCAGCGCTGTTGTGAATTTGATCTTTGAGGAAGTGCTCGTGATGCGTATTTAAAATCTGATCTGCTCGTCGTTGATGCACCTTCTGTAGAAATTAATGTGAAGGGAGCAGATTTCACATCATAAGAGCTGCAGACGAACCCGTCGCTGCCTCCTCCGCTTACGTCTTCTCTCAGTCGTCTGCGGTTCATTAAAGACTAAAATTAACTCACAAAAATCGATTCAAAATAAACAAGAAAAGCACAGGAGGCACTGAAATGTGTACACTGACCTGAATATCAACTTTATTAGATTATTTTAGTTGTAAATTAATTATTATTTGTCAGGTTTACATCCTTATAAAGTAATTCAGGGGACTCGTTACCACCAGCGTTAAAACATACATTCATTTAAAGTCGTCAACACTTTTTATTGAGTTGTTTAGACTTAATAATGTTGGTGATTGTCTCCATTTAAAACGATGTGTAATTCAAACCCTGAGTTTGTAGGATTCTTTAAAAACTCACATCTATGCTCACGTTTAATTCAAGTTATACACATTTTAAAATACATAACAATCCCTTTTGTTTGTTGGTTTAAACGCAGGTTTGTTAGAAGTCGTCAGAACTCAAAAACTGTTAATTTTTTCTTTGTCGAGTCCGTCGGCGTTTCTTTAATGTCTCATTTTGTCCAAAACCCAAAGATATTCAGTTTATTGTCATAGAGGAGGAAAGAAACCAGAAAATATGTAGAGAATTTAGACTTTTTTAATTCAAAAACTACTGAAATTGGTTGATCTGTTATCAGAATAGTTGGTGATTAATTAACTGTTGCAGGTTTCGTATCAGCAGCTGTCTTGTGTAAGAAGTTTAAAGCCTTCTGAGTTTCTTAAGCTTGTTTATTTCTTGTTTTAAGTTGACTCTGTCCATTCAAGGAGCAGCTCGTTTAGAAGTTGTGTTTCTAGATGAAGAAACACCGTCACAAACATTATCAGCTCACGTTCATCCACAGATGAAGAAACTCTTTCCAGTTATTTTCCGGCTGATTAAGTCTAACGTGGTTTTCTGAGCTGTGGACTCCCATCCATCAGCAGGAACCGTCAGAGTTCGTCATCCGCCGGTTTGCTCGCCCTCAGCTCTGGTTTTTTAGTCGTCCTCCTTTTTCCACCGGTTTGGTCGGTGCTGCACCTGCTGAAGTCTTGCCAGCTGAACTCTTCCCTGCTCTGATAATCCCTTCCTGATCGGCCTCCCAGCCCGCTGTGGTTTACACAAGCTCTCTGCTGGAGGCGTAAAAAACACCTGAATCGCTGCTGCTTTCCCAAGTTTTCCTCCTCAGCCTCTTTCCTAAACATGCTTCTGGTTTGAACGCTGCAGAATATCGTGGCTGGTTTTTGTGTTTTTTTACTGACTGCTGGTGATAATTCACCGACTCGGGTTCATAATTCTCGTAACATGTGAGATAAAGAAGCGCCGCCACGCCCGTCTGACTGTGCTGAGGCGGCACCTGCAGTCTGTGGACGCCACACCTTTACGTTGGAAGAAACACCCATTGTTCCACCCGGCTGAATCACGTCTGCTCAGATATATGGCGCTGGTCAGAGGTTAAACTGCTGCTCATCGGTTTGCTTATCAGGCTGGTTTAGGTCACGTCAGTAACTTCATTCAGACACTCGGATATTTCCCAGAGAGGGACAAGTTGTTGAAATTCTGTAAAGTGATGATGTCCCAATCTAGTTTATTTGCCTCCGAGTCATTTAGTATTTAGGAACCGTTACCATTTCCGTCGATAATACACATTTCAGACGTTGCAGATTCGCTGTAGCTCCTGAAGGGAGCGTTGTGGGATTCAGTTAGCAGTGGGCACCATGACAACGGCCTCTGTGATGCTTAATGTCTTCTGGGCCAAACTAATTATGATCAACTAAGACAGCACTCTTTTATCCCAGTGGCTTAAGTTACAGATTTACAACGAACTAGCTATTGATTGACACCGCTGCTTATTTTTTATTTATTTATTTTTTAATTCATTCAGAATTTGCATCCCTATCCACAGATGACGCTGTCCCTTTACGATACGCGATCAGAATAATCTAAAATGTAGTAGCTGTTGATATCATTTTCGTCTATAAAACACACTTTAGGTGTTGTAGACTAGCTGTAGTACCTGGTTGTTCCACCAGGTGGAGCCTCTTGCTGTTAAATGTTAGCAAGGAGAGAGAGCATTGTTGGATTCAGTTAGCATCGGACACCATCACAAAGACTTCTGTGATGCTTAATGACCGCCGACCAGAAATTGTGAATAACTTGGACAGCGCTTTTATAGCCCAGTGGCTTATGTTACAGATTTACGTATTTGACAATTGATTATTAATTAGCAATTAATTGACAATGCTGCTTATTTAAAAAAAATCTACAAAAAATTGCTGTCCCTTTAAGACGCGCGATTGGAGTCTTCTAATATTTAATAGTCGTTGATCTTGTATCATTTTCCTTACCTGTAGTACCTGGTTGTTCCACCAGGTGGAGCCTCTTATTGTTTAATATAAAGTTCCGTGTTTGCAAGCAGAGAGCGTTGGGGGTTCTTAGCTAGCAACAGGCACCATAACAAAGAATTCTGTGCTGCTTAATGACCTCCGACCAGAACTCATCTGCTCAAGACAAACTGTGACAATATCCCAGTGGCTAATGTAACAGATTTACATATTTGATAATTGACAAATGATGCTGTCCCTTTACGACACGTGGTTTAAGTCATTTAAATCATATTTAGTAGCTGAGGAGTCGATGCCATTTTTCTCAACAATACACACTTCAGCTGTAGTACCTGGCTGTTCCACCAGGTGGAGCCTCTTGCTGTTTTACACCGTAGCGACTAGCGGAGGTGGTCACTAAGACTACGGGCAGTCCCAGGTTAGCAAGCAGGAAAGCACTGTGGGGGTTTAGCTAGCAACGGGCAACCATGACACCATGACCTCCAACCAGGATGGAGTTCTTATATCCCAGTGGCTTATGTAGCAGGTTTACATATTCTATAATTGATCAATAATTAATCAATAATATCGCATTTATTAAGAAAAATATAAGAAACGGGGCTCTCCCTGTGTGACAGTGGATAAAAACAAAGGATCAGGTTTGGGTTTGATTGATCAGGTGATTTGATTGGATCAGAACGTTTCTACTGTAAATTCTCCTTCAATGTCACTTTAATGTTGCTGCAGCGTTCGTAGTATGTTGACTGACATTCGTTTGTAGGTTGTTATATAATAATTTCTTCTTCAAGCTTCTCATTTTCTGGAATCTGCTGATTTGTCTGAACCTGAGCCGGGCCTTATTTCTGATGTTCTGAGACGAGCTGATGGTGAAGACGAGCTGTAGCTGCTGGGCGGCTTCACGCTGCCACTCAGGAGGCATTTTTCTTGGCAAGCAGACAGACTGACATCACGTCTTACCTCATGGGAAACTTATTTCGACTGTTACTGGCTCAGATTCAGTTTTCGATTTTGACAGTGACATCAGGGGAAGAAAGGCAGCGAAGGGCGCCAGAAAGAGATGTGCAAAACCTGTTAAAGGGTGAAAACGACAGCAAATATCTGTAACTAATGAGTGAGATTAGTTTAATTTGTTAGTTAAAAAGTGTTAGTTTGTGGTCACACACTGGAAAAAAAGCTAACAGCTAACAGGTATTTTAACAAAATTTAATTTAACAACAAACATTTATAAAATAACAGATTTTTTACACGATTTAAATACAGTAGAAAATAGAGAAATTCAACGGCCACATATTGTAAAAAGAAGAGAAAAAACCATCATTCTTTTTTTTCAACATGTAAACTAATTTTTATTTGATTAGATTTTACTTGATATTATATGTAATTTAGCAAAAACAGGAGAAATCTATAAAAGAACAGTTACAAAAAATGATTTGGCTCAAAATATCCATTTTAATAAAAGCAGGTATCTGTATAATTATATATGTATTTTTTTGTTGATTTTATGGTCAATTGTTAGAATTACTTTTGGAAAAAAATATGGATTTTTTAAATGTAAATTTTGGGCTTTTTTTTGCTACAGTAAAAAAAATCAGTTTTCATTCATTAATTTACACAATTTATCTTAAATATTTGTAAAATAATCATATTATGCAATTATTTAGATAAAATAAAATACAAAAACAGTGAAATTCTCCAGTCAAATGATGTGAAAGAATAAATTGCAGTTTGTAAAAATAAAGATTTATTACGTGGACATTGTTTAAATTTTTAATTTGTTTTAATTTTTTACGATTAACATGTAAATTAGTGCTTTTTTCTGTGACTTTACCAACAACAAAACCGTTTAACCGCTCTAGGAAATGTGTAAAATAACAGTAAACAGCTTTAAACCCCATTACACACTTCAGCTGTACCCAGGGTTTGTTTGTCGGCTGATGAGAGACCGGAACGTGGACGTAAACAAGAGTTCGAGCCGTCGTGGGCGGCGACGGTCGCATTCCTGGAGGTGTTGTGGTGCCGCATAGTTTGTAGAAATTATATATTGAACATCTGGTTGTGTCGGCAGCAGCCTGAGGGGTCTTCAGAGTCGTCAAGTCGACCAACAAGTCCGCTCTTGAGCCTGTTTGACCGAGCCGAGTCAAAAGTCAAAGTCAAGTGTTCAGTTTATGAACTCAAGTGTCAGTTTCAGGTTTTTATTGTCATTTCTGGATGAATTTTGCAGTAAAAAGTCCCATTTTGTCCTCGTGCAGCCCCAGTCCAGCAGCTCCACTCTGATAATGATTTTCTTTAATGTCTTTAATGTGTGAGTCAGAAGTTAACGTCTTTATGGTTTGTTTGAGCCAACGCTGGCGTTGTGTGTTCAGTGTTTCCCTTCAGGCCTCACAGCCTTTTTCTTTCTTTGCCTTTTCAGAGCATCAGCGGGAAATCTTCGTCGGTGTTCAGCCAGTCGTCCAGTCCCATCAAGAGCCCCGAGCCCAGCGTGGAGGAGGAGGCAAGAACACACACACACACACAACACACCCCAAAACCGCCGGCTGATTTCACAATAAAAGCCTCCAGATTGGTTTGTTCCATCAGAACAAAAGCCTCGTTAAGGCTCGGCCCGTTTTAATTCCTCGTCCACCATTTTTTTTGGTGATAAAACACAAGATGAAAGTAAACAAGTGGAAACCGACAGACGCCTAATGAGCTTCACTGATCGTATCTCGCAAATGAGTGGAGACGTGTTCCAGCAGGTTGCACCGAGGCTTCCAAGAAGCCTTTAAGAGAAACGGAAAAAATTAGGTTACATATGTGCAGCTCCAACATACAGACAGACGAAGAAAAGCTGCATTTAACAGCTGCAACAAAAAAACCTCCTGTTTTACAGCACAGGTGGTGAGACACATAAAAGCCAGCAGGTGTGAACAGGCCCAGAGGTTTGCAAAGGTTTCAACGCAAAGTAGAGCAACACGTGGGTTCTGGACAGGAGAAAATAGAAAAAGAAATTTGTAAAAAAAAAACAAACAAACAATAAGACCAGTGAATATGTTGGCAAATATATGTAAAAGTACATGCCTTTTTTTTTTTTTTTTTAAATAAAA